AGGATATATACACACAGGATATATACACAGGATATATATACACACAGGATATATATATATATAAGATCAGAATCATACTTACAACATTCCTTAGATAAACTTTAGAGTTTGAGATTGGTGATACTTTCCTTTCCACCGAATAACCACACAATTAGTAACTTAATCTAATCAATTAAAACCAAGTTAGATGTTTTGATCATTAATTTTCGATGTTGTTTTCAAGAACAAGAAAAGGTTAAATATAAAGAAAAGATTATTTTTAAAGATTGCTGAATCTTAAGTTCATACTAAATGTAAATATGATAGATGTTAGACTAAAGAGTTCATTACACAAGTAACACTAAAGCCTTATTAGTCTCTGCTAGGCTTACTAGGTTAAGTGGCTATACGCTTCTAACAAGTGTCTGTTTGTAATTAAAATAACATAAATAATAAATCATATAGGTAATTAACACTAATTCACATTAAGATATTGTATTATGGGTTTAGTCTGTTTATTGGGTTGACTGATTAAAGCTTTTAACGAATCTGTCGATCAATTTATCAATGTTTGGATTGAGGAACTGACCAATAGGGGAGGGACATGGGGTAAACATTAACTTTTAGTCGACTATATCTGATCCCCCCCATTTCTCAGTGTATGGTTACCCTGTTTGTCCCTTTTCATGATTAAAATGTACATAAAATAGAACCATTAGTAAAATTAAAGACTGTATTTGTAGGCTCTCCATGATGATGTGGTAGACATCTCGTATTAGACATTGTAAACATCGTGAAGAAAGACAATGTCTTGTGATAAATCGTATTAGACATTGTAAACATCCTGAAGAAAGACAAGGTTTTGTGATAAATCGTATTAGACATTGTAAACATCGTGAAGAAAGCCAAGGTTTTGTGATAAATCGTATTAGACATTGTAAACATCCTGAAGAAAGACAAGGTTTTGTGATAAATGAGACAACGTTATCGGACTTATTACGTAATGCTATATTTTAACGTAAATACTTCATCAATAAAAAATCAAAATATTAAGCCTGAATAATTAGTATAACCAGGGGAGTAGCATCGGCTTAAATATTGTGGGGGATATGGAGACTGTTTGAAATTTGTTACGATAGAACATGTCATATGATTCAGTACTATTAACTATTACTGTTGAAATATGAGGGGATAATCCTACGTGAAATAAAAAAAATGGGGGAACAGATCCCCTTGTAAATTATGCTCATGAACATATCTCATATGAGCTCTTAAAATAGCGTACGTTTGTTCGCAGCGCATCTCAAAAACACAGATTTGTTTAAAAGTTTCTTGCTATGACACTCGTATTCATCATACATGTAATTAGTGATATTAACTACTTTGAAAATTTACTGAAACTCTTGCACTCATTTTACAAATCTGAGGTTCTGAGCCCCTTTGTTTGCTATTTCCCTCACAAATCTGACTTGTGTGTGTGTGCGTTTTTTAAAGTATTTTTGCTACCTTTGAGAAGCGATTATTTTATTTTTCTGGCGGTTCCCCACCCCCATATTTTGTATTTTTTACTAAGTTCTATTTCTCACTGAAATATTTCTGTACTTTTATCCAATGCTTCGTTTTCTTCTGGAGATTACTTTTTTAAATACTCTTCCTAATCTCAGGTCTTTTCTTGTGGATTTATGTACGTTTTTACAAAGTTTTGTGTTCCCCTGGTGGATTTTATTTTACCTTTTTCAGTATTATGACTCTCACTGTTGGATTTTATTTTTGCCTTTCTCAGTGTTGTGTCGCCTCCTGGTGGATTTTTTTTTACTTTTTCCAAGAGTGTCTTATCTTGGTTGATTTTTGTACTTTCCCCAAAGTTTCTGTCGGATTTCAGGTTGTAATTAGCTGTTATATTTTTGTGTACAACTTATTCAACAGATCAGTTAGTGTTGGATACACACATACAGAGTAAACACACACACTCTCTTGCTTTTAAGTCAACTTGTCAATGACTAGGGCGTTGTATTATCGTACGTTAAGATACAGTTATGAACTTAGCGTAGACTGACTTGTCAATGACTAGGGCGTTGTATTATCGTACGTTAAGATACAGTTATGAACTTAGCGTAGACTGACTTGTCAATGACTAGAGCGTTGTGATATCGTACGTTAAGATACAGTTATGAACTGACTTGTCAATGACTAGGGCGTTGTGATATCGTACGTTAAGATACAGTGATGAACTTAACGTAGACTGACTTGTCAATGACTAGGGCGTTGTGATATCGTACGTTAAGATACAGTTATGAACTTAGCGTAGACTGACTTGTCAATGACTAGGGCGTTGTGATATCGTACGTTAAGATACAGTTATGAACTTAGCGTAGATGGGGTTTGTTGTGGAGACTGGTCAGTTTTTAATAAAGTGGGGTTTGTTGTGGAGATTGGCTAGTTTTTAATAAGGTGGGGTTTGTTGTGGAGACTGGTCAGTTTTTAATAAAGTGGGGTTTGTTGTGGAGATTGGTCAGTTTTTAATAAGGTGGGGTTTGTTGTGGAGACTGGCCAGTTTTTAATAAGGTGGGGTTTGTTGTGGAGACTGGTCAGTTTTAATAAGGTAGGGTTTGTTGTAGAGATTGGCCAGTTTTTAATAAAGTGGGGTTTGTTGTAGAGACTGGCCAGTTTTA